TACGAATAGGTTTTTTAAACTCGATTTTCTCGAAAACTAAGCTTTAAATGAACAAATTTTACAACATAATTAGTTCTTATTTTTTCATAAGAAACCATCTCGTGCCCGACTTGTACACGTTATTCGATCGCATCCTCTATAATTTGGAAATAAGGTACAAGTGATTAATGATTTTGTTTCGATAAAAAAATTTATTGCAGTTTCTTGAAGAAAAAAAAAAAACGATATGCAAGGGAAATTGTTTCCAGTTATTCACTAATTTACGGAATTATTTCATATGTTCATTTTATATCTATAAAATGTGAACTACGGTGTATTAACAATCAATGTACGAATACGAAACAGTTTTAAGAGGTGCGTTGTACAGTTTTCAAGCTGGCAAGATTTTTAATATTCTCGTATTATATAAGTTTATTGTAAATTTTTATCGATTTGCTTAGTAGTAATCTATACAAATAAATAAATCACAAATTAATAAAATACGTATATTTGTGTAAGAAATTGTTTCTTTTTTTTTTTAAGATGCGATTATATTAACAAACAGTTTTGTACATGTTTAAGTCATTGGTGACGATAATTTTTGTTTAGTTTCAAATTCCATATTTACAAGTTTTTCTGACGGAGATGGCAATATATAAATATTATATATATGTATGTATAATAAGATTTAAAAGTAAAGGTTAGGTTATCTCTAAATTGAAAAGATGTCTCCACGTGTATGAACTTTCATTGGAAAATATCGAACCGTTTTCTAATTATGATGTAATAAACAAACAAACATATTTTCGATTTTATTTACATAGATTTATTAATTTTCTAGTTTGTAATAAATAATACACTTTTGAACAGAAGTTGTCCATCGTTAAATGTAATATATATTGTTACTCTATGTATTGGAAAAAATCATTTAGCTGCACTTGTTGAAGAGATACATTGAGCAATTGTTTTTGAATAGATAAATCGAGCGCATCTGGATGACTAGGAGTAGGACGGCAATTGCTGATGTATATACCACCATAATTTTCAATTGCTTTGTTCACAGCTGCATATACAATAGGTGTAGCTCCTTCTTTGGATGACTGAATAGAGTGAATATGCATTTATTATCATTGAATATTTTTAAATATGCGTGACAAATATGTTTCCTGTTTTCTACATACTTTAAGAATCCGTTGAAACAAGAATTTAAATCTCCAAAGAGCAGTATGTATAAAAAGATCTGTTAATATTATGCCTGGATGTACAGAGTAAACTTGTACATGATATTTTTTTTCTTTTAAGAGATTTTGTAATATTTTTGTAGATATTTCTTGTGCCAATTTACTTTGAGCATATGCTTGGCCACTGATGAAACCGTTTCTGTTTAAGGAATTAAGTATGTAATCAGCAAAGATATCGATTATACATAAGCGACAAATAGTAATGCCACATAAAATAGTGATACCATACTTGTTGTTAATGTCATTGAAATTAATTTTCCCCAAAAGGTGAGCACACGAGGAAACATTAACAATTCTACTGGATTGTTGTGGATGACCACCAGCTTTCAATAATGGTAATAGAAGTGCTGACAATAAAAAATGTGATAAGTAATTTACAGCCCATTGTTGTTCAAAGCCATCCTCGGTCTCATGATAAGGACAGAACATAACACCGGCTACAAACATCAAAATAATATACGATATGCTTTTTCCCTAGGCATATTTGTTATCTACAAGAGGAAAAATTAAACAATGAACATTCAAAATTGCCTTACCATTATTGATTAAAACATGAATTTGTTTGTAATCTTTCTTTATCTGTGTAGCAAATTGTTTTACAGACTTTAAAGAAGAATTATCAAGTTTGTATACTTTTGCTACACCAGATTTTACACCGGACTCTCTAATCCGAAAAATGGTTTCGTCGCCGGCGGCAGGTGTTCTACAAGCTAAAAAATATGTTTTAAAATAATTTTAAGGAAAAAAGAAATATGTTGAAGAAATTTAAGTACTTTGTAAACATACCAATGATTACTTCCATATCAAGTTCTAAAAGCATTTTAACCACATCTACACCAATTCCTCTAGAACCTCCTGTTACAATTGCAACTCTGCCTTTTTGGGGTGGACAATCTGAAAAAAATATACCACTCAATTTACTTTATGAAGTATAATAGAGTTATTTCAAGTTTCTAAAGCCTCTGAATCACGCGTTCGTATGTATCTTTATATGTACATATTTTTTTTTTCAGTTTATATGCAGTACGAAGTTTTAAAGTCCACATCCATTATTCGTTTCATAAATTTTAATACAGCAACAAATTATATATGTACATAATTTGCAATTTACGTATTAAATATTAATAAATATTGATGTAAGACATTTTACTTGCAAATTGTTCAACGGGTACAATTAGTACATTACATACATATGTATATCCCAATCTTGGTCGCACTAATTTGTTTCCGTTACGAGGATAAATCACTAGCACCGGCTTCTCTTTACAGGTTCACTTGGTATTTTCCATTTACAGAACGTTCAGAATTATCGAACGCTGGTAATTTTCCCTTGTAACAGGAACAAATTAATGTGGACGGCTTAACTACGGTGATATAACCATTATTGTCTATAAAATTAATGATTATTTTATACTGCGAAAACACCCTATATATCGTACATTAATGTTTATTCAGTTCGAACGAACTCACATTTTCGCAATGTTTCTTAATTTCAAAAGTAGACGGTATAAATATAAATGCAGCTTTTGACATATCATTTCTTACCTAAAGCAACATTTACTAATTATGTAAACAAAAAATAAAGGCAACGATAATATCTCTGTGAAAATTAGGCGCGTGATAGAAGTTTCAAGTTTTACAATAATCGATAAAATCACGCTAAAGGATTAAATTTGCTCCTTAAACTTACCATTATTCTTGTTATATTTTGCATCTTTCCAATCGTTGAAAGCTTCTTTGATACCTAATATAAAATATTTCACTTCGTTGATGATTCGTTGAATGATGAAGGGGCAACTTTCTCGATGTTTACAATACATTAAAACGCTTGTCATTACAGCAAATATTGAACTGATGAATAGCATTCTTTTAAAATTAGTTGTCCACAATTTCGAAAAGTGTTAATTTATGCAGTCCGACGTGGGACAGACGAATGAATCTTCATGCTAAAGCGACGTTTGCGAGTGAAGAACTGATTATGAATTAAACCGACACGTCAGGTAGTTCTCTTTACTCCCAGAAAGTCTTGAGCTACTTTTCTGTTCGTCTCGAACGGAAGATTTATACCGTTATACGCGGAACGCATCACACCTGTATTTTTTGCAACATTTTTCCGTGTACTTTGAACCCCATCTTATTCACATTAAACATGAAAAATCTGTGTCTTTTCGCTGAAACAATATGAAAAATAATACTTTTAGCAAAATTATTATTCGATTTTTATTTCGAGACATACATGTACATAATAAGTATATAATGGTATGATACATACATATTCGTTATAATGAAAATAAAATATTATCATGTATCATATTTATTTATCTTATCGATTCGCGTATACATATAAATACACAGGGTGGTTTTGTCAAACGATAGTTATAGTATATATACAATAATAAAACAATACGAATAGATCAATTATTTTCTCTTTTACTGGATTTCTCAACATGTTTATCAACAATTTTCGACAATTTTAACGCATTCTAAAAGTGATAGTTTTTTTTCCATTTCTTAACCTAACATTCAGACTAACGAATGTTTTTTCACTCTGTTATTTATTTATATAAATAAAAATGATTTAAAATTATGTGTAATTAAATCGAAATGACCGACATTATAGTGTGAAAAACAAACTATACAATTTTTATTTTCTTGTTAATAACATGATGGAGTCTTTAAAAAATGATTACAAGTTTGTATATTTTGATAACATATTTACATTGGATATAATGTACATAGTACGTATGGATCGTATTGTAGGTAAATTATTAATTTTCGATGTTTAAAGAATGTTTAAATAAATACATAGCTAATTTTATTGGCTTCTTCCTTAGTAATACGTCCGTAACAAAATTACCAAAGCACAGCATTGCATTTTATAAGACAAATGCAATTTAGTTTAGGAACATGGGACGGGCATCATAGCAAAAAAAAAACGAAAAAAAAGAGAGAGAGAAGGAAACTGCGTTTCATCCGGTATTCGGTATTACTCATCGATAATATAGTAAGATTTCGATAACAATGACACCAAATTCCAGCGTCGATCAGCACGAATTGAAACTCATCACTCGGTCTTCTCTTAGTAAACAAAGAAATGAATTTGATATTTCGTAAAAATTGTTACTATTATTTCATGTGTGCACAAACTTGAATAAAACTTGAATAATAATTACAAGAAACAACAAAAGTTTTTGATATTGAAATGAACATTTGGGCCGATACCTCTATAGCAGAGCTACGTCACCAACCAATATTGCTTATTGTTTTTTCGATAAACTTGTGTGTGTGTGTGTGTAGATGTCATATCAATCATTTTAGAAATATGCATGGAGAGAATCCAACAACAACCAAAACGTAATTAATCGGAATAATGTGTAAAAAAGATATCAATGGATATGGAAGCCAGTTGAAGAAACGGACTTTACGTGTTTACCACTTTACCAGTCGATAGGTCGATACAAGGGTACAAGCGGTGAAGCGGTACAAGGGTAGAAACCATGTGACACTTTTCTAGTTTATATGTATCGCCGTTAGATGGCTATAGAGAATCGTAGGTTCCTAGGGGAAACACTGGCTAGTAACCTAGCCGAATCAATGTCGGAGGTCAAAGATCGAAGAGGTAGATAACAGCCCCGTTACAACCTCAATATTTGAGAAATAACTTTATGTTCTTTAAAGGAATTTGATGAAAACTTGCGAGAATTGAATGTTGTTTGTAGCCCTCTTTTGGTAAAGTACAAGAGGTATCGTAAATCGTAAATCGTAAGTCGCATCTCGCGTCTCGTGTCTCGTGTCGTAAAAGTAACGACGAAGAAATTCATTCGCACCATCTATCAGAGAAATTAGAAATCTTAAAAACGAAACTCAGACCCAGGGTAATTATTAAGGCATACCTGGCCAAGTCAAGTATATTCATATATACGTGTAAAACGTGAGTAGTGAGTTGCGTGTAGATGCGCTCTGGGCTGACTGAAATAAATAACGTTTATGTTTATACGTGCGTTTGAAAGAATTTACATTTTTGGCAAGTAAACGAACGTTTGATTTACCTTCTCACAAAGTAAGTTAATTTTAATTTATTACCGTTGACTTGACTCGATTTGATTTATACACACGATTCTTAAAAGTTTACAATTGGAGAACTCGATTAACGAAAACGCGAGGCATTAATAATATTTCACGTATAACGTTGTTAACAGTTTGTATTCATATGAGATTTCTTTCAAGTTATAGCGAGATTAGTTTGTCTAAATTGTACTTGAGATGTTGTACATTTCATCTCCCATCAGAATTACCTGCTTTCACTTTAGAAAACAGGACGCGATTTACATGATCAACGTGTCAATAATAGATACATAATGTTCGAATATATTTTTAGACAGGCTAAAGACATTGTGTGCACTTGTTAAAACTGCTTTAAAAATTGAAACTGTAATTATTCACATTTTTACAAAAGTTCTTTTCTTAGTAGATAGGATGGCGGATACCACGAGTACAGGTTCGGGTGATAGTTCTCCACAAGTAGAAAAAGGTTGGAATGCTTTGAGGCAACACATTATCGACAATAAGATTAAAGTTGGATTATGGATTACAAGACTTTTTACTATTATATTTACTATTGGTTACATCATTCCTATATTTGGGTATGTTATTCTATAACCTTCTTCTATCGAATCAATCCAAAAATATAAATTTATTGTTCCACATATTAATTTTATATTATGTATTTTTTTCAGGAATCCTTATAACATTTATTACAAAGCCTTAATGAGTAGTGCAGCAACAAGTGCATTACGGCTTCACCAAAGAGTTCCACGCGTTCAACTTAATAGACCATTTCTAAACCTTTTATTTCTTGAAGATTCCTTTCACTATTTATTTTATTCTTTGATTTTCTTGTACGCAGCTCCTGTTACATGTATCCTTTTTATTCGATAATGTGTAGGAAACTGAAATAGTCTGTCTCGAACAAACACATTATACAGATATAATTCTAAATTCTTATTTCTTAACTAATAATTAGTGGTGTTAATTCCCATATTTTTATTTGCATTGATGCATTTCGCTAGTTATTTGCTCACATTGCTGGACGTAAGTGAACAAGTTTCATGTTATTAGGCTAAATTATATACTTTGAAATGACGTAAGACTAACGTAGCGTTCTAAGATATGTATAGTCATTGTTATGACAACTGATATTTTGTCTTCTTCTAATTAAGTGTTTAGGACAGAATAGTTTGTGGGGAGCACGCCTCTCCATTTCTATAGTGGAATTTCAATCACGGAACATTTTGCGTCTGTGCGCACTATCAGAGATAATTATTTTGCCATTTACTGTTCTCCTCGTATTTACGTAAGTATCTCGACATATATACATTATCTTTCCAAAGATAAATTACAAGTACACAAATTAAATATTTTTCAAGTACTTAACAAAGGTAATTTTTTCTAGGGGTCGTGCTGGTTTACTAACGCCTATTATTTATTATCAATTCTTGAAATCTCGTCTAGAATCACAAAGAAATCCATTTACTCGTAATGTATTTTATGAACTTAGAAATAGACTAAGTTCCATTTCAAGAAGACAGTCTCTGCCGGAAATAGTTCGACGAATGATTCAGGGTCTACTTTTACTCACGCAACAAATGGTTCCGATTCGTCAATAATTTTTCATTTTCAATACATCATTTTTGAAATTAGATTTCCTGGGGTTTTAGGGTCCATGGAATTAATAATTTCATACAACATAATTGGATGATAAAACGAGTGCAAATATCAAAAACAACAAGGCTACCAAGTATCATTTGAAATGTATTAAAACAAACAAAGTATAAGATGACATTTTGAAATTGCGATTAATATCTTGCAATTTATGTCTGATTGTTATAAATAATAGCAAGATTTTTGCAAAAATTTCATACGAATAATTACTAGATTAAATTTAGGATTCATTTACCAAGTACGAAAGTACTTGTACGATCTTGAAATTGAATAATCGGATTTTTCATATTCTGTAATGCGTATTATTATTGATAACGCAACAAGATTTTAACTACATAGCGTTAAATTATTATGGACGAATGGATAACAATCACACTATAACGAGTATCGTTAAACGTTTATTCTAATATTTTGCATATATATATATATATGTTCATATTTATTGTAACATTCCGACACGCTTATTGAACTCGAACAAGTATATATTTCTAAGTAAACTCACATCATACATTGATTGATGTATTATCCCACATTATAATATGTATTTTTTGTAAATTTTAAAAACGTTTATGTTTACGCACTCCTCTTTTCCCAAGAAATATTCAATGCGTGCTAAGAAATAGTTTATGTATAATATTAGACAAATCATTTTTTCATTATTTGATATAGATATGGGTTATTCTTTGAACACTGTAATAAAACAGTATTTGGCTCGTCTTACAAGGTTAAATATCCTAATTGATATTCCAATGATATTTTAGGTTAATTAGTACAATTTTATTGAATTAAGAAGATAAAGGAAAGATAAAATGAAATAAAATACTAAGTTTAAGCATGATCTGTGAAACTTTCGTAAATAAAATATAAAAATAATACAATTTTCATTTCTTGCAGTCTGTCGTTGTAACTATTATTTTATCCTATTAGATTTTATCGATAGCATAGAAAGAAATACAAGTACGACATTTCTTTTAAAAGTTTATTGTCATTTGTGCACAAATTATACTGCAAGCGGTGCCGGTTGTGGCATGTCTTTCGATGCTTTCACTTCGGATGTTGGTTGCGTAGGGAATATTTCTTCCTTTGGTTTGACAATAGAAACAGAATCTGGAAGAGGTTTTTTCGGGCCTGTCTTGCCATTGGGATCGTATGGTAGCATAATTTTGACTTTAATGCCAAGCACACCTAAAACAAAAGGATTGTTTTTTTTAACAATTGGTTGGTCTGTGTTTGAACCTTGAAATTTAGTTGTCGGTAACACTTTAATGTATATTAGTTGAAAGTACCTTGTCGAAGAAGTACATGACGCGTCGCGATATTAACGTATTCATTGGTAGGTTCTCCGGAATGAATCATCAGTCCATCAACAAACTTCATCGATTTGGCTCTCTGTCCACGCAATTTACCACTGACAACAACTTCGCAACCTTTTGCTCCCGATTCCATGATGAAACGAAGAACTCCATAGCAAGCCCTAAAAATGTACATATTTAATACTGTTGTTAGAATTGATGTTACCATTTGTAGGCTGTGTTCAAGTAAGCAAGATATTCCACTAACCTTCGTACAGCGAGACCTCCTATTAATTTATAACGTAAGGATTCTGCTTGAGCGATAGCGCAAAGTCCACGTGTTGCAACTTTTTCAGCATACAATTCGATATTCTGCGTTTCTTTGAAGTTGAACCTCTTTTGTACTACAGAAGTCAATTCTCTGATCCTACGACCTTTTTCTCCAAGAACACTTTGCGTGTGAGTCGCCAACAAAATAATTTCGGTACGATGAGGAGTCACTCGTACCTCTACTCCAGAATATCCATCTTCAGCGAGTTCGCGTGTTAAAAACTCGTTTAATTCAGCTTTGAAGACACCATCTCCGACAAACTAAAAATAAAATGCAAATTATTAAATATAAATTACAATGATTACGAATACATCATAAATAAAGTGACTTGATAATTTTTTAATAGATTAGCAATTTATATTTTTTAGAATATAGATACATCTATAGAATTTGTTTTTAACGGACGAATCACAGATTAACCTAAAAGTACATGTTTGTTGGTAAGTATACACATAGGTAGCCTTGAATAAACGTTGAACGTTGAACGTTGACAATGAATGATATTCATGTATATTTTTGATGTTTGTAACGGTCCAAGTGTAGAAATACATGTATAAACTAAACAGTTAACAGAGTTGAAAGCATCCACGTCATCCGTAACTTTCACGTGTTATATATTTTTATTTTTTCTCAAAATATTTTTTTCTTGGCTTCCATTACTACACTGAACATGATATTTTCAAAAATTGTTTATCGCCGATTGTTAAAATTCACCAACCTTTCTCTTCTTTGAGATAGAACGGTTGTCCATGTTCAATGCTGGCGTGTTGGAAAGAACCAAAATCCAAAAGACTCAACTGGAAGAGGAAGTAACGGAATTTGCTTAGAGAGTCGATCGACTTCGAAGTCAAAACAATATTTATAATAAAAGTAGGATTACTTAAAAATACTTTTTCATATACGATTATCTCGTAGAATAATTATTTTTATGTTTTATGGTTAATGGTTTAGGGTTTATGGTTTTTCAAGAAAAAAAGTATATAAATTTAAGTGACCAGTGTATGACGTTCAATTACTATGTATACAGGGTGTCCCAAAAATGTTGGAGTTCCTTGAAAGAGGTGGTTCGGGAGGTGATTTGAAACAACTTTTTCCTTTGCGAAAATGTCGGATGGGGCTTCGTTGAGGAGATATTAGCGGAAAACGGTATGCGCGCGCTCTGATTGGTCGTGGTTTTTTGTTAATATCTGCCCGACATTTTCGCAAAGGAAAAAGTTGTTTCAAATCACCTCCCGAACCACCCCTTTCAAGGAACTCCAACATTTTTGGGACACCCTGTACACTTAAATACATGCAAGTGTAAGGATGTAAATAGAGGTATGATGAGGGAAGAGATGAGAATTAATTCTAAGCGTGGAGTTTACGTAGAGTTTATATAATAAGTATTTGTATAAAGTACAAGTAAAAACAATTTCTCGAATACATATGTAAATAGAAATGTAGAAATGGTGAATCATCAATTCTATAATCTGGGCCTTAACATTAAAGCATTATTTGTGTAATGGAAAGAATGTACATATTCGACATTCGATAAAAAAAGGAAAACAAGAAATTACATAATAATTACATTAGTGTATGTATTTATGTATTGGATGAATAAAAGGAAGCACAGTCGAAATTTATGTAAGAGATTTTTTTTTTCTGTAAAATATGCGAGGGTCGATCAGCATCGTTAAGTTACGCTATTTTAATTACATTTTCTTCATACGGTCCTGGTCCTGATACTATCTCAACACATGCACGATATGCTTTTACGTTGCACACAATATTGGATCGAGTTATGTAAAGAGATATCACTTGTGTACCTATATGTATACATAGATATGTAATATGTATGCGTACGGTGCTTTACCGTGCCAAGTATATCGTGTATCGTGTGTCATAGCCGCGATTATGTTTTACTCTCGACATGGAATGGAGAACAGTAGCATATACAGTGTTGATAGTGAGTTTATGCTTTCTGGTAATACCGATCAGAGTCGGACCTGATACTAACACCGAGGATATTAAGCTTTTTACTAGCTATGTCACGCGTTATAATAAATCTTATAGAAACGACCCGGCAGAATACGAGGAAAGGTTCAAACGATTTAAGGTAAGTCGTAAATTAAAGAAACAAATATTTCAGATAACATATAGCAGACACTTTACACACAATATAGGTAGTTTGGGTAATTGTTGATTTGATTTGGTTTACAAGTGACAGTTTTCCGAGTATTTCTCGCGTTCGCGTACACGAACAAACACTGCCCTTATCAGTTTGATCTGCTTCCTCTTTTGGAAAAGCGACAAATTTGATTTTTTTTTTTATCGATAAAATATACAATAACGATACCAAGTGTAAGTCGTATCCTTTTCAAAGTGTTTCGATGGTTTGCGAATAATGATAGGGCTGGTATGATACATGACGATGATGTTGAAGTAATTCGTTAGTGAAATAGCTTGTCGGCTGGGGGTGGGATGTACGTGGATATACTATGACTATGCGTGCATCCAGGTAGATCCAGAAAAGCCAAGAATTGTTTGCTCGCAAACGATAACAGTTTCTTAGTACTGGCTTTAATTTAATACTAGTGGCGCCATCGGTGGGAAAAACGTCCAAGTTTGTAGAGAAAATAGTTGCCACCGTTTCTCGAAGGTGGCGGCACCGATATTTTTAAATAAATTATCTTTTATTTGTCCTAAATGCATCATTAATACGATTCTTTGCTTCGCAACACTACAATATATTACTTTAGTATATTTTGAAAGGCTTACTTGCTTTTAGATATCCAGCAATAATGCAACAATAATTACCGATCTTTTTGTTAGTGGGGTCATCTGGTAAGAACGGTGGTAACTTGTTTCGCTACAAACTTGGACGTTTTCCCACCGATGGCGCCACTGATATTAAAGAAAAAAACGTGTTGAGTGATTGTCGGTATGTTTGTGGGTGCGAAACATTTGAAAGTTCGACAAGCCGCTTACAAAGCGTCCCTAGGTTGTTGGCTTGGTTTGCACAAAATCGTCGAGTCTACCTTTTCTAACGAAATGAACAAAATTGACCGGTTAACATAAAGTTGTAATAAAGTGTTGTAGAGATTGCTTTTATCGCCGTATAAAAGAAATAAAGAAATAAAAAGTTTTCTGAAAAACGTAGATGACTGATTTTTACCTTTTATAGAACGAAAATGATTATTTTACGTAACGTTAGACGCGTGTCTTACAATTAATTACAGAGATCGTTGCGGTACATAGAAAAAATGAATGGGCTTCGATCATCACAGGAGAGCGCGTATTATGGGCTCACGGCATACTCTGATATGTCGGAAGAGGAGTTTTTGGCGCAAACCCTTGTACCTGACCTTCCCGTAAGAGGTGAAACACTTGTAAAATAAATATTCTGTACAGAAAACTGCGAGTCGAGATACACATGTACGTTAATGTACCGCTAATTAAAAAAAAAAATATATATATATGTATAAATAAATGTGTAATTAGGGGTAAAACACGTGAACGCATCGTATCATCGACAGCATCGTTCGAAGCAGTCGACTGATCGATCGAAAAGATCGCTTCAACCATTAAATATGCCGTTAAAATTCGATTGGAGAGAAAAGGGAGTAGTTACTCCTGTGCGAGAGCAAGGATCTTGCGGTGCCTGTTGGGCATTCAGCACCGTTCAAGTCGCCGAATCGATGCTTGCGATTAAAAATGGCACTTTACGCACGTTGAGTGTCCAAGAAGTGAGTTTCCTATTTATTTAGATTTAGGTAATTAGGTAAGGAAGAAGATTTGTGATTCGGTGATTTCTTTAATAGATGATCGACTGTGCGAGAAATGGTAATTTCGGATGCGAGGGAGGTGATATATGCAGTTTACTGTCGTGGTTGTTGGTGTCGAAAGTTGAAATTTTTCAGGAATCTAGTTATCCGCTCACGCGACAAACGAGTATGTGTAAATTGAACAAGTGAGTAGGTGTATGTACATATATACCATATATACACGTATATCGAAAGTATAGGAGTAAGGCGCAACGTACGATACGATTAATATTGTTATGTCGTATTAAACTGTCTGTTTCAGGACATTTGGAAAAGCACCTGGCATAAGAATAAAAGATTTCACGTGCGATAGGTAAGAGACTTTGGATCTACAAATAGCAGTGAATATTTCAAAGTAAATTGTACATACGTTTAAACGTTTGTTGAGTTAATAAACAATTTATTGGTTAATATTCGTTGAGAAACTAGAAGAAAATTGGTGCGATAGAGGGTTGGTAGATTGATACGTATGTACTAACTAATTGTAAAGTCAAGCTCTTATATAAGCTGAGCGGATTCCGTTATTGTGTTAGTCCTGCTAATGAGAACTTGACGTCATCGGATAGACGTAAAAAAAGATGTGTCATGTTTCTCGTATCATATTAATGTACAATTATTACATTTCTCAATCGAAGAAACAGTCGCGTGAAAAAGGAAATTAAGTAGGCGATTTGGTCGCAGTAGTCGCTATGACCCGACGTACGGACGTAAGGAGATTCTATCGCGAATATATCGCGTGACCAGAGTTTCAACTTTTTTCTTTGTTGTTTGATTGGTCGAATGAAATGGTTCGTTTAGCACAGCTGGTGCACGTATTCGTTTTAACTTGAGTATAATACGAGTACTAACGATACAAAGTACGAAAGTAAAAAAAAAGAAAGGAAGAGAAAAAGATAGCGCGATTGGTTGGAACGGGTAATAAATATAATTGACTCACTCGACGTTTTTGTCGTTAATGGTAAGGTTAATGTTAGTTTTAGAGACGCAGAGGATGATCTGTTAGTAACGCTTGCTACTCATGGACCAGTGGCGGCTGCGGTGAATGCCTTATCCTGGCAGAATTACTTGGGCGGTGTGATACAATATCATTGCGATGGTTCTTTCGATAGCTTGAATCACGCTGTACAGATAGTAGGCTACGATAAATCGGCTACTATACCTCACTACATAATCAAAAATTCATGGGGATCGAGGTTCGGAGACAAAGGCTACATATACATAGGAATAGGCGGTAATCTGTGTGGTACGATATGCCGTGTATTACAAACACCGTGAAATATGTATGAATCTTATATTTTTTAAATATAATATGTATATTCACATAGGGTATTCGTTTGTCTCGATAGGTATAGCCAATCAGGTTTCGTCGCTGGACGTTCTTTAAAGAAGAATATATCGACGCGAGCCAAGATATTGGTCGTAATCGAACGAGTATCGTATTTTTCTATCAAACTGTATAATGTATTGTACATAGATAGTACTTTTGTAAAAGATTGACAACGACAATAATCTACACGATTATTTCTATAATTTTACAGACACTCCGTTTCGAAACATTACATGTGCTAAGCGACAGAGTATAAAGAGTATATCTAATAAAGATTTACATACGTACATAAGTTGTATAAGATGTATATCTAAAAGTAACATTTCCTGAATAATCTATTATTGTATTGTATTGTATTGTATTGTATTGTATTGTATTATATGCACCTATATCCTATCGTTAGGAAATCGTGCTCGACTATTTAGGTAGCCTCGAGTGTACATTCCGAATTGTTTTGTTTGTCGTCCGGATTCCATCCGTTGCAGGCAATGGACAATTTTGTCTTCATTTGTTTTGTCAGCGGCGGAATCATGTGACGAGGTATTAAAAACGTAGACAGGTTGAACAGGTCCAAGAACACTTTGTATCTGTCGCTGTTGTCGAAACACGTGAGTTGGGTGTTGGAATTAACTAGTTGCATCGAATTTAGAATATTCGCGAGAACGAA